AGATAGATGCCTGATGTGAAGAACCACACACAGTTACCATCCTCAATTACCCACACAAACAGACTACGGAGCCTGAGGATAGCCTCATTAGTAATCCTCTCCTTATCCCTGATAACGATCGATGGCAGCCAGTGTTGCTCCAGGGACCGGAATGAGCGTCGCACCTCCACTGATAACAATGAAGCTGTTTGCTGGCTGTAATTGCCTTTTCAGCCCTGAGACCAGAGAAGGTGACCGCTTTAAATACCCATATTTACACTACAAATTACTCTGGAGAGAGAGGTGAGGGGGGGGTGATGACTCCAAATAGTCTTTGGGGGGCGGCTCTAGCGGAAGGGCGTTGAGGCTGAAATGGAACTCTGTCTCTCGCTCTCTCTCCCCTTCTGTTTAAAGTCTTATCAGGTGTGGAGCCGTGACTTGAGCTAGCTTCATTAGCCCCAACCTACACTATATATGCAAAAGTATGTGGACATCCCTTTAAATTAGTGGATTCGGCTATTTCAGCCAAACCCGTCACAGAACGGGACCGTCGAGTGCTGAAGCACGTAGCGCGTAAAAATCGTCTGTCCTCGGTTGCAACATTCACTACGGAGTTCCAAACTGCCTCTGGAAGCAAAGTCAGCACAAGAACTGTTCGTCGGGAGCTTCATGAAATGGGTTTCGATGGCCGAGCAGCGCAATGCCAAGTGTCAGCTGGTGTGGTGTAAAGCTCGCCGCCATTGGACTCTAGAACAGTGTAAACGCGTTCTCTGGAGTGATGAATCACATTTCACCATCTGGCAGTCCGACGGACAAATCTGGGTTTGGCGGATGCCTGGAGAATGCTACCTGCCCGAATGCATAGTGTAAGTTTGGTGGAGGAGGAATAATGGTCTGGGGCTGTTTTTCATGGTTTGGGCTAGGGCCCTTAGTTCCAGTTAAGGGAAATCTTAACGCTACAGCATACAATGACATTCTAGACGATTCTGTGCTTCCAACTTAGTGGCAACAGTTTGGGGAAGGCCCTTTCCTGTTTCAGCATGACAATGCCCCCATGCACATAGCGAGGTCCATACAGAAATGGTTTGTCGAGATCGGTGTGGAAGAACTTGACTGGCCTGCACAGAGCCCTGACATCAACCCCATCGAACACTTTTGGGATTAATTGGAACACCGACTGCGAGCCAGGTCTAATCGCCCAACATCAGTGCCCAACCTCACTAATGCTCTTGTGGCTGAATGGAAGCAAGTCCCCGCAACAATGTTCCAACATTTAGTGGAAAGCCTTCCCAGAAGAGTGGAGGCTGTTATAGCAGCAAAGGAGAGACCAACTCCATATTAATACCCATGATTTTGGAATGAGATGTTCGACGAGCAGGTGTCCACATACTTTTGGTCATGTAGTATATCTGCTAGGCATTGATAGGGCTGCCCATTAAATGTTTACGATGGGCTGCGTACGTGCATGCATGTGTGCCTGTGTGTGGGTGTGTCAGAAAATGATGTGCATGTCTCTGAAAATCTTCCCCCAACAATCCAGTTCCTCTTTCCACAGTGCAGTACTGCCCCTAGTGGTTTAATTAACTACATCTACAGTGTCTTCAGCATTAGTTCTGCAGAGGAACGGTTTGGAGGACTCACATTAACACAGTTTCACATTATTCACACAACATATGGTATGACTCTGCCTCAATGTCCTCTATGGTCAATTACTTCCTTTCATTCTTTTCAGGACTATTTTCACTCCCAATTCCTCCTATTGGCAGTGTAATATCATGGATGTTCACAACACACACACACAAAGTGTAATATCATGGATGTTCACAACACGCACACAAAGTGTAATATCATGGATGTTCACAACACGCACACAAAGTGTAATATCATGGATGTTCACAACTCGCACAAACAGTGTAATATCATGGATGTTCACAACACGCACACAAACAGTGTAATATCATGGATGTTCACAACACGCAAACAGTGTAATAACATGGATGTTCACAACAGTGTAATATCATGGATGTTCACAACACAGTGTAATATCATGGATGTTCACAACACGCAAACAGTGTAATAACATGGATGTTCACAACAGTAATATCATGGATGTTCACAACAGTAATATCATGGATGTTCACAACACGCACACAAACAGTGTAATAACATGGATGTTCACAACATGCACACAGTGTAATATCATGAATGTTCACAACACAGTGTAATATCATGGATGTTCACAACACGCAAACAGTGTAATAACATGGATGTTCATAACACGCACAAACAGTGTAATATCATGGATGTTCACAACACAGTGTAATATGTTCACAACAGTGTAATATCATGGATGTTCACAACACGCACAGTGTAATATGGATGTTCACAACAGTGTAATAACATGGATGTTCACAACACACAGTGTAATATCATGGATGTTCACAACACGCACACAGTGTAATATCATGGATGTTCACAACACAGTGTAATATCATGGATGTTCACAACACGTACACACAGTGTAATATGATGGATGTTCACAACACAGTGTAATATCATGGATGTTCACAACACGCATACAAACAGTAATATCATGGATGTTCACAACACGCACACAGTGTATTATCATGGATGTTCACAACACGCACACAAACAGTGAAATAACATGGATGTTCGTTCACAACAAGCACACAGTGTAATATCATAGATGTTCACAACACGCACAAACAGTGTAATATCATGGATGTTCACAAGACTAATAACATGGATGTTCACAACACAGTGTAATATCATGGATGTTCACAACACAGTGTAATATCATGGATGTTCACAACACAGTGTAATATCATGGATGTTCACAACACACACACACAAACAGTGTAATATCATGGATGTTCACAACACGCACACAAACAGTGTAATATGATGGATGTTCACAACACGCACACACAGTGTAATATGATGGATGTTCACAACACACACAGTGTAATATGATGATGTTCACAACACACACAGTGTAATATCATGGATGTTCACAACACACAGTGTAATATCATGGATGTTCACAATACACAAACAGTGTAATATAATGGATGTTCACAACACACAGTGTAATATCATGGATGTTCCCAACACACAAACAGTGTAATATCATGGATGTCCAGAGTTTGAAGCAGGAAGGAGTTTTGTTAGTCTGATGTGGACATTTGATTTGTTCTCTATGCTGTTTTCTTTCTTCCTTTCATCCAGGAAACGTGATTATGGTGGACTATTTTTTTTATACACATTCAAAAACCTAACTCAATATTCTACATATGTTTTGCTCTCCTGTCCCAATAGACTTTTCAAACAAAGTAATTATGAGACGTTTCTGTTGAGTTGATGTAGTGGAATAGTATGCCGTTTGAGCCTGCCTGTCAGTAGAACGGAGTTATAGGATAGAATAAGTTTGTTACCAAGGGAATGTGAAGTGTGGTTATAAAAATCACAATAGACAACATTACACAACGGCATAATTCAGACAGTCCATGTATAACCCCTTTTTATAACAACCCTTGAGGTGCACAAAGTTGAAAAAAATATCCTTCATATTAAATAGACATGACAATAAGTTAATAATAATAAGCCATTTAGCAGACGCTTTTATCCAAAGCGACTTACAGTCATTGTTAAGTAGTACATTCTTTAAGTTCTGATGATAGAAGAAACGCAACATCCTACAATACCTGATTTGGCCAAAGTAGGTCACTGTCGACCTAATCTCAGGGCCATCTCATCCATTGGTGTCTTCAGTAACCTCCAAGACAGATCATCCCCTTAGCTAGTCCTCTCACTTTGTTTCGATGTGTCACTCATGAACCTGCATTACCTCACAAGTGTTTGTCGTCCATTACCTTGCCACGTAGGTTCTGCAGGCTGAGCATGTCTAACTGACCGTTATAGACAACCAGGTGCTGCAGTTCGGGAGGCTGGTGAGCACGTCCAACACCTACGAGCCCGTCACCCAGGGAGACCAGAGGAAGCCTCTAACCGTGACTATGGACCAGCCGCTGCTCTGGAGCATGGGCATCTGCAGGGACAAGAAATTACATCATCGACCAGGATGCTCCACCCTCTGCCAGCATGGGGGGGGGGGGGGGGGGACGACGATATACTCTCAATGGTGGATTGTAGGGTGCAAGTCTACGGTTTGGAACCCAGCCCCAATGTTACTTCACCGTAGTCTCTTAACAGACAACATTCACCACAGGCGGCCGGTGGCACCTTAATCGGGGAGGACGGCTCATAGTAATGGCTGGAACGGAATCAAACACATGAAACACATTGTTTCCATGCGTTTGATACCACTCCGCTCCAGCCATTATGAGCCGTCCTCCCCTCAGTAGCCTCCTGTGATGTACACAATATACATCTCATACATAAGAATCATCATACAGTCACACGCAGCTTTTCTTTAATTTATTAACACAGCCAAATAAACATTGCACACTGAATGTAAAAAAAATAAAATAAATCACATCCCTTCACCCCTATCCCATGTTGCCCCACTGTCTCAGGTTTCTGGGTATTGTAGTTCTGTAGTTGTAGTTCTGTCACACCTGCAGAGGTTCAGCCGCCCCTGAGAGAGAGAAGAACACCCATGAACAGGGCCACATAGGCAAATTAAGTTCCTCACCCAAATGTCTACAATCCACCACATGATTTGAAATAGAGCATGTGTAATGCATTCAATCAGATCAAAGTGCTGAAAAAACAGCAGTATGTGTGATATTATTGCAGACCTATCTTCCAAGGCATTACTACATGCATCTATGCACATCATACCTTGATTACACATATTGGAATCATGTAGACTGGTAACACTAGTGCACTTTAGCTAAAATCACCCAATTTCTACGCTAACCTACAAAGCCAAATGGACTGAACTTGAAGGGTATTTTCTCCCAATGATGTACATAATAAAGTACTGACTACTGGTGTGTGTTCTGCAGTCCAGTCCTATGTTGAAGGTGTGGTCCTACTTACACAATGATGTTGTTGATGGGGATATGGATGAGCTTGACAAAGAACCCAATGAAGCCCATGATGGCAAACCCAATCGCTGTTGCCATGGCGATCTTCTGGAATTCTAGAAAATATCACAATTAGAATCTATCCTGTTACAGAATCTTGACAGATTTGACAGACAACAGCAGAAAAACTAGACAGAGCTTCACAAGAGTCTTCTTGATCAATCTGTTTTTTTAAATCAAGGGGTTTAAAATAGAAAGACTGCTCCATTCACTTGATGTCATGCTAAAAAAAGATTGGTTATATTGGTTGTTGTCATGTAAAGTCAACACTAAAGATTCAATCAGTGATGAATCAGCATTACTATCCATCTACTACTAATACTCTGTAGCTGCTCAGCTATGTAAGGTTGCAGTCAGTTAACTTGCTACCCAAGTAACCCCTTTGACAATTTCATTTTACTCATTTAGCAGACGCTCTTATCCAGAGAGACTTACGGTTAGTGAGTGCATACATTTTTCATACTGGCCCCCCGTGGGAATCGAACCCACAACCCTGGCGTTGCAAGCGCAATGCTCTACCAACTGAGCTACAGGAGGCCTACTGTGCAATGATTTTATGCTCGAAAGGGTGTAAACTCACTCAGCGGACAGTGAACTGACAAAAGACAAAATCCTAAAACAGGATAGCAGATTGTGTAACCTAAACACATATAGAAGTGTATCAGTAAACCACAGACACATACAGAGAGAAGACTGGGTGACTGATAACCATACCTTTCCTGTCTGGTTTGGTGCACCTCTTCACGAGCCTTATGGAGTCCTTGACGAACTGCCGACTGGGCTCAACGAACTGCATAACCTGGTCCATGATGGTTCGGCTGGGGAGTAAACAAGTCCGACAGATTTTCTGTATGGGTGCACGAATAAACCAGGTACTGGAGCTAACGTTAACTAGCTAGCTAGTTAGCTACATTAGCTATTTAACTGGTGTCGTTGGAAACCATTGACTAGGAAGATTTCACAACTAACAACTTGGTTGAGCAATCAAGACAGACATTGCTTTCTAATTTCAACGTTGCACTGAAAATCTCAAGATTGTTTGTTTATTTACCAGCTAACATTAATCTAACTAGCTACTGTAGACAGCACCCACAATGAAAGAAGACGTAGGTATATACCATTATAACAGTTTGGCTACCAAACTACAATAATTCTTTAAAATGTGGTTTCTTACCTAGCTATGCTACTATATCAACGTGTCCAAACGAATATCTCAGAATAAATAGATGAAGTAGCTAGGCTTTGACGTAGCTAAGAAAAGCCACGTAGCTTTCGGCAGCTTTTTATAGAAGACAGTTGACGTAGTATTCTGATGCGCATGCGTGAGTGCAGAGAGCAAGAGGCGAAGCGAGAGGTTTTACTTCGTCCAAAATCTGTCCACGAAAATAAGACCACGAAGTAAGGTCAATGAGAGTGTCGAATTTGGTCAACAAAACGTTGAATTCCTAATTTGGTACGTGCGTCTTATTTGATCAAATAGAAGATTCTTAATGGTTAAGTTGCTACGAATGCACTGATGTAAGTGGACGCACATAGGCATTTCGGCAACTTTGAAAAAAAAACGACTTTATATCAGAGTTGTGCCTGTTGTCATAGAGATAGATAGAATACTTATCATTAGTGATGAGCTATTAGTGCTTTTTGAGGTCGGGTCGGTTTCAGTTCGATTATCCCAAAAATGATCACAGATTTCGGTTTTGATAATTTTTTTAGACATTCAATGCACAATGCATTATGTGGGTTGAATGCTGTAACAACACAGAATAAAACAATTAATAAAAAGACCCATGATTACTGCTTATCACTTATTAACCATCATTTCTTCACATTACTTTACTTTAATAAAATATTGGTTTCATTTGATGACTTTATTATTTCATTCCAAGTCATCATCTCATATAGAGCTGCTGCCTATGCTGTCTGACAAAATCACAATTTTAGTAATTCTTCAAAGTAAATAAGGCATACTTTTATGACTGCTGAATACCAACTATCAATCACTTAGTCTTAGATCATGTATTTTCAAGCTCTCGTAGCTGCTTTCTATCCCTCTCGATCGTGCGTTCTCTCTTCTCTCCTCACTCGCCATGTCTTGCTCCTGACAGACCCCAGAAGTTTGAGTGGGCGCGCAATGGATTATGGTCATTGTAGTTAATTACCATGTTTTCTGTGCTAAACTATGTAGAATATTGGCCTGTTGGAAACTACAACTCCCTACTACATCACACAGTTCAGACTTGATCTGATTTATCTCTACAGAAACTGCACATCAAGCTCACAGAAAAAAACAGAACAAAATGGAATTCAAATAATTGAATCGACTTTGGTCAATTAATTGTTTAAAAATGGAAAAATAACCAACATTTTGGTTAATCGCTCAGCACTACTCATCATGGATATAACCCGTTTTAGCATGGACATTGCTGTTGAGGACTTCCACCATATATTATTATTTATTATTTTAAAATAGTCAACTGGGTGGGGATTCCTATGAGTTGGAAGCAGACCCGGCGCCAGGATAAAGGGGGAAGTTGAAATCGGTGAGCGGCACAATTTTGGTGGGTTCTTCCACTGACTGAGTGCTTTCGAAGTGACAGGTTGGCGAGAAATCTGTAGCCTATCTCCGCTGCGCTGTATCAGCACAATGGACAGATCCCTACACACTAAAGCAAGGCCGTTTTGGTAATGAATATAGGCTATAAGATGGATAGGGTAATTCACCTATTACAAACAGCCTATTTGAATGCAGCTGTACACACAGCTGTCTTACCTAAATAGTGCAAACTATACTGAACAAAAATATAAATGCAACATGTAAAGTGCTGGTCCCATTTTTCAAGAGCTGAAATAAAAGATCCCAGAAATGTTCCATCTGCACAAAAATGTTATATCTCTCAAATTCTGTGCACAAAGTTGTTTACATCCCTGTTAGTGAGCATTTCTCCTTTGCCAAGATAATCCATCCACCTGACAGGTGAGGCATATCAAGAAGCTGATTAAACAGCATGATCATTACACAGGTGCACCTTGTGCTGGGGACAATAAAAGGCCACTCTAGAATGTGCAGTTTTGTCACTCAACATAATGCCACAGATGTCTCAAGTTTTGAGGGAGCGTGCAATTGGCATGGTGACTGCAGGAATGTCCAAAAGAGCTGTTGCCAGATAATTGAATGTTCATTTCTCTACCATAAGCTGCCTCCAACTTCGTTTTAGAGAATTTGGCAGTACATCCAACCAGCCTCTTAACCGCAGACCACGTGTAACCACGCCAGCCCAGGACCTCCTCATCTGGCTTCTTCACCTGGTGGATCATCTGAGTAGGGGGAAGGGGGGTGCTGAGGAGTATTTATGTATGTAATAAAGCCCTTTTGTACGGAAAAACTATTTCTGATTGGGTGGGTCTGGCTCCCCAGTGGGTGGACCTGGCTCCCAAGTGGGTGGGCCTATTTAGACCCCTTGACTGTTATTTTGTTATGGTACAGCCTTATTCTAAAATGAACTAAATTGTTTTTTCCCCCTCATCAATCTACACACAATACCCTATAATGACAAAGCAAAAACCGTTTTTTTAAATACTTTTTTTCAAATGTATTAAAAATAAATATCACATTTACATAAGTATTCAGACCCTTTACTCAGTACTTTGTTGAAGCACCTTTGGCAGCGATTACAGCCTTGAGTCTTCTTGGGTATGACGCTACAAGCTTGGCACACCTGTATTTGAGGAGTTTCTCCCATTCTTCTCTGCAGATCCTCTCAAGCTCTGTCAGGTTGGATGGGGAGCACTGTTGCACAGCTATTTTTAGGTCTCTCCAGAGATGTTCGATCGGGTTCAAGTCCTGGCTCTGGCTGGGACACTCAAAGACATTCAGAGACTTGTTCCGATGCCACTCCTGCATTTTCTTGGCTGTGTGCTTAGGGTCATTGTCCTGTTGGAAGGTGAACCTTCACCCCAGCCTCAGGTCTTGAGCGCTCTGGAGCAGGTTTTCATCAAGGATCTCTATGTACTTTGTTCCGTTCATCTTTCCCTCGATCCTGACTAGTCTCCCAGTCCCTGCCGCTGAAAATAAATCCCCACAGCATGATGCTGCCACCACCATGCTTCACCGTAGGGATGATATTAGCCAGGTTTCCTGGTTTCCTCCAGATGTGACGCTTGGCATTCAGGCCAAAGAGTTCAATCTTGGTTTCATCAGACCAGAGAATCAGCTCTAGGATGAGTCTTGGTGGTTCTCAACTTCTTCCATTTAAGAATGATGGAGGCCACTGTGTTTTTGGGGACATTCAATGCTGCAGAAATGTTTTGGTACTCTTCCCCAGATCTGTGCCTCGACATTATCCTGTCTCTGAGCTCTACGGACAATTCCTTCGACCTCATGGCTTGGTTTTTGCTCTGACATGCACTGTCAACTGTGGGACCTTATATAGAAAGGTGTGTGCCTTTCCAAATCATGTCCAATCAATTAAATTTACCACAGGTGGACTCCAATCAAGTTGTAGAAACATCTCAAGGATGATCAATGGAAACAGGATGCACCTGAGCTCAATTTCGAGTCTCATAGCAAAGGGTCTGAATACTTATGTAAATAAGGTATTTCAGTTTTTAAAAACAGCTAACATTTCTAAAAACCTGTTTTCGCTTTGTCATTATGGGGTATTGTTTGTGGATTGATGAGGAAAAAACGAATGTAATCAATTTTAGAATAATGCTGTAATGTAACAAAATGTGGAAAAAGTCAAGGGGTCTGAATACTTTCTGAATGCACTGTATGTACTGCAGGACCAAATCGGAGAGATGGGTAGGAGCCTGTCCATGTAATGCTTTGTAGGATAGCAGTAAACCTTGAAACCAGCCCTAGCTTTAACAGGAAGCCAGTGTAGAGAGGCTAGCAATGGAGTAATGATCACATTTTTTGGTTCTAGTCAAGATTCTAGCAGCCATATTTAGCACTAACTGAAATGTATTTAGTGCTTTATCCGGGTAGCCGGAGAGTAGATCATTGCAGTAGTCTAATCTAGAAGTGACAAAAGCATGGATTAGCTTTTCTGCTTCATTTTTTGACAAAAAGTTTCCGATTTTTGCAATGTTACGAAGATTGAAAAAAGCTGCCCTTGAAATATTCTTGATATGTTCGTCAAACGAGAGATCAGGGTCCAGAGTAACGCAGAGGTATTTTCTTTATACCAGGGAGCAAATATCTTGTGACAAATATATACGTTTAAATGTAGATCCTCGGTTAGGTGGTTAACATATTTTTGTCCTCTGATGTCCTTGGGTAGGTGGAGGGAGTCTGAAAGGGCATCTAGGAATCTTTGGGTTGTCCGAGAATTTATAGCGCAGCTTTTGATAATCCTTGGTTGGGGTCTGAGCAGATCATTTATTGCAATTGCAAACATAATAAGATTGTGGTCCGATTGTCCAGGATTATGAGGAAAAATATTTAGATCCACAATATTTATTCCACGGGACAAAACTAGATCCAGGGTATGACTGTGGCAATACGTAGGTCCAGAGACATGTTGGACAAAACCCACTGAGTCGATGATGGCTCCGAAAGCCTTTTGCAGTGGGTCTGTGGACCTTTCCATGTGAATACTCAAGTCACCAAAAATGTGAATATTATCTGCATGACTACAAGGTCCGATGGGAATTCAGGTAACTCAGTGAGGAACGCTGTATATGGCCCAGGAGGCCTGTAAACAGTAGCTATAAAAAGGGATTGAGTAGGCTGCATAGATTTTATGACTAGAAGCTCAAAAGACGAAAACGCAGTCTGAAACTTGCTGTCACTAGTGTAACCAGGAG